AAGGAGAAAAACAAAACAAAACAAAAAAGCCTGAAGAAAATAAAGATATTCCCATAGGAGCAAAAACTGGTAGAAATAGCTAATAAGGAACCATTCACAAAAGAATAACTGAGGGAAGTTCTCAGGATTGAAAAAGGGGTAACTTCAATAATAATTCAGGTTTATACATGCATAAAAGAACAGAGCATCAGAAAAGGTAATTATATAATATAAAACAAGGATAAATGCATAATTGTTCAACTTTCATATTTTATCTGATATAAAAGGCAACTATAAAATTGTTGGTATATTTATGTAATGTATTGTTAAAATTTTAGCATATAAACCGTGTGTTTGCAAATGACATCACAAAGATAATTGAGAGTACAGCTATACTGAGATAGGGAAATAACTCCAGATACACAAGAACAAGTTAAGAGATAGAAATGATAAATAAGCATTCCCTGGGAATATGCCAGCCTCACAGGGTGGGGGGCGGGGACAGGGAGGGCAGTACTGGTACATGCCTTTAATCCCAGCACCTAGGAGGCAGATGTTACTAAATCTCCATGAGTTCAAGGCCAGTCTGGTCTTCAGAGTGAGTTCCTAGACAGGCAAGGTTACACATGGAAAACCTGTCTAAAAAAAAAAAAACAGCAAACAAGCAAAATGCAGTTCAAGACCTGAAAGTGGAAATGGAATCAATAAAGAAAATCCAACCTGAGGAAAACTGAAAAATGAAAAATTTAAGAATTCAAACGGAAATTTCAGTAGCAAGCTTTAACAACAGAATACAAGAAATAGAAAAAAGAATCTCAGGCACTGAAGATACAATAGAAGAAATGGATACATTAGTCAAAGAAAATGTTAAATCTAAAAAGAGCTAAAGTAGATGGAGGACACCAGTACAAGTCCATCTAAATCGACTAAGCAAAGCTCATAGGAACTCATAGCTACTGAAGCAGAAAGCACAGGGCCTGCGTGGGTCTGCATCAGGAACTCTGCTGTATATATTATTAAAGCTTTCAATATTTTTATGGGACTCCTGAGAATGTTTGAAAGAGTGAGTCTCTAATACTTGGGCCTTCTCTTGGGCTCTTATCCTTTGTTGGTTTTCCTTGTTCTATCTTATTACATTTCATTTTGCTGTTTTGCTATCTCTTTGAAGCCTATCTCTTTTCTAATAAGAGAAAGGGAGTAGATGAGGAGGGGAGAGGAGATGGGGAGAAACTGCAAGGAGTATAGAGAGGGGACAAATGTTATCAGAATGTATAGGATGAGAAATGAATCTGTATTCTATACAAGGGAAAAAATAATAGGTGGGATCTGGAAAAGATCATCCTGAGTGAGCTATCCCAGAAGCAGAAAGACACACATGGTATATACTCACTCATATAGACATATAATATAGGCTAAACCTACTAAAATCTGTACACCTAAAGAAACTAATCAAGAGGGAGGACTCTTGCTAAAATGCTCAATTCCTATCCAGAAAGGCAAAGAGGATAAACATCAGAAGAAGGAGAAAAGAGGGAACAAGTCAGGAGCCTGACACAGAGGACCTCTGAAAGGCTCTGCCCTGCAGACTATCAAAGCAGATGCTGAGACTTATGGGCAACCTTCGAGCAGAGTGCAGGGAATCTTAGGAAAGAAGTGGTTAACAGTAAGATCTGGAGAGGACAGGAACTCCACAAGGAGAGCAACAGAACCAAAAAATCTGAGCACAGTGGTCTTTCCTGAGACTGGTACTCCAACTAAGGACTATGCATGGAGATAACCTAAGACCCCTGCACAGATGTAGCCCATGGCAGTTCAGTATCCAAGTGGGTTCCATTGTGATAGGAACAGGGACTGTCTCTGACATGAACTGATTGGCCTGCTCTTTAATTACCTCCCCTGAGGAGGAAGCAGCATTACCAGGCCACAGAGGAAAACAATGCAGCCTCTCCTGATGAGACCTAATTGACTAGGATGAGAAGGAAGGAAAAGAAGTCCTCCCCTATCAGTGGACTTGGGGAGGGGCATTCGTGCAGAGGGTGGAGGAAGGGAGGGATTGGGATGGGAGGAGGAAGGGAGGGAACCACAGGGAGGATACAAAGTGAATAAAGTGTAATTAATAAAGAATTAAAAAAATAAACTAAAAAAAATTTCACTAACCTAAAGGTGGGGATGAGATGACTATCAATAAACAAGCGGCATGCAAAACACCAAATAGACTGGACCAGAACAGAAAGTCCCTTTAACACATAATAATAAAAACACTAAATGTACAGAACAAAGAAAGAATATTAAAAGTTACAAAGGAAAAAGACCAAGTAGCATAAAGAGAAAGACATACTAGAATGGCACCTGACTTATCAGAGGCTTTAAAATTAGAAGGACTTCGACAGATGGTTTACAGACTCTTAAGGGACAACAGATGTCATCTCAGACTTCTATACACAGCACAACTTTCAATCAAAATAGATGGAGAAAATAAAGACATTCCATGACAAAACCAAATTTAAGCAATATCTGTCCACAAATCCAGTCCTACAGAAGGAACTAGACGGAAAAATCCAACCTAAAGAGGTTAGCCACATGCAAGAAAACACAGAAATAAATAATCCCAGGCCAGCAAATCAAAGAAGGGAAAACATGCACATATACACACCACACCACCACCACCACAACAACAACAATAAAATAACAGGAATCAAACACTGTTCATTATTATCCCTCAACATTAATGGTCATAGTTGCCTAATAAAAAGACACAGACAAACAGAATGGATGCAAATGGATGCAAAAACAGGATCCATCCAGAAGGATGCATCAAAGAAACACACCTACTATCAAGAATAGACAGCAACTCAGGGTTTTAAAAAAGTAAAAAATGATATTATTCCAAAGAAATAGACCTAAGAAGCAAGCTGGAGTAGCCATTTTAATATCTAACAAAACAGACTTCAAACCAAAACTAATCAGAAGAGATAGGGAAGGACACAGCATACTCAAAAGCAAACACCACCCAGAAGACACTGCAATTCTTAACATCCATGCATCAAACGCAATGGCATACAAGTTGACAAAAGAAACACAAACAAATATAGCTTAATCACATGACTCTCACACTGACAGTGGGAGACTTACAAATGTTACTCTCACCAATAGACAGTTTATCCAGACAAAAACTAAGCAGAGATATAATGGAGCTAACTGAACTTATAACAAACCAAATGGACCTAACAAATTTACAGAACAATTTTATCCAAACACAACATATATCTGTTTCTCAGCACCTCATGGAAATCTCTCCAAAAATGACCATATTCTTAGACAGAAAGCAGGTCACAACAGATACAAGAAAGTTGAAATAACACCTTGAATCCTATCTGAGAGATTAAGGCTGGGTATCAACAACAGAAACAATAAACATAAACCAGGTATGTATGGTTTATGTACCATGCCAAGTATGGTGGTACATGCCTTTAATCCTAGCACCTATGTAAGCTCAAGGACAACATGATCTACATATCAAATTCCAGGCCAGATAATGCTACTTAGTAAACCCATTTCAAACAACCACAACAAACCCTTGTATATCCAAACCACAATAAATATTATTTGGTCACAATAAATAATGTAGTATGTACACATACCATATGACTCCTTTCAGCTCTAAAATATTATGCTGTATACTAATAACAAATATTCAAGATAACTATGCCAATTAATATAATTCGATCACTTATATACACGTATCAAATATCACACCACACTCCATAAATATAGTTATTTGCCAATTTAAATGTTTTTTAATTTTAAAAATTATATAGTCCTTATTACTTTATGCCTGTTATCCCAGCACACAATAGGCTGAAACAAGAGGTTCACAAGTTCAGGGCCAAACTGGTGTAGAAAGCAAGACCTTGTTTTGTTTTGTTGTTTTAAAAAAAATACAACCCTTGAAGACTTAACTGTATGCTCCTCTTTGCTTCTGCTATTTAAACTGTCTATGATTATAGTAGTATACATTAAACATTTGTTGAAAGAGAATTATAAGAAGTTGCTTCCCAAACAAAAATGACAGTATGTTAAGGTTACACTGATAAATCACCAGAACGTGATGGCAATTAAAATATTGTCAATATATGAGAAAATATAAACTGAAGTACAGGTTTAAAAAAACCTGTAGACGATTTAAAAAAAAAACAAAAACAAAAACTAGGGGACTGGAGAGATGGCTCAGCGGTTAAAAGCACTCTTCCAGAGGACCCAGGTTCAATTCCCAGCACCCACACGGCAGCTGACAACTGTTTATAGAGCCAATTCCGGGAGATCTGCCACCTTCACAGACACACACGCAGGCGAAACACCGATGCACATCAAATTGAAAAAAAATAAATAAATCTTTAAAAAACCTTAATTGAATGATATAACGAAAAGTACCATAACCACTGCCACACGCCTAAGTGAAGTCTTAAAGCTTTCCAAAGTTACCTGTACACAAAGAACGTAACTGAACGTATCTTAGAGCGGTGTACATTTTGGAGAAAAAGATAGTTAGGTTTTTTTTGTTGCTTGTTTGTTTGTTTTTTGCCTATCAAAACGCCTGAGGCAGTTAACGTACCAATTCAATTTCCTACTTCTTTATAGGTAGCTTACTCATCCTGAAGTGAACTTGAAATTGTTACTTCCGATTTCATACAATGGGAACCACAGGCAATTTAGTACCCAATTCCCTGACAAACTTTTGAAAGTAGCTTCCTTACATTTAAAAAAAAAAAAAAAACCCGCAAATCCCTACAAGACACCGGTACTCCAGGTGCCCTGTGCTTGGCTCTCTGCTGTCCCCAAATGTTTTCTTTCTCTCCGCCTGGAACAACTAACTCTAACTCCGTACACTCGCTGCTACTCTGACTTCTCCCTGACAATCTTTCTTCTAGGTGCTTTTCCTGACCTAAGGTCAGGAGGGCAACCGTGTCCCTCTCAGGTTCCCTCGTCCTTCACCTTACGCTTCCCAGCCCATGGCAACACACCTGGTATCTTCGAGGGCTTCCGGACGCTCCATGCTGGTGCGATCTCCACCGCGAGCCCGAGCCGCAGACAGAGACTAGAGGCCGGGTTAGAACTGCTGAACGCTTGTGCTTTTCGAAAGCGGCGGCCGCGGCTGCCCAGGGCCAAGAATGTACCGCGGGCAGCGCCATCTTAGGTGAGGAAACGCGGACCGAGAGAGGAGGATTGTGGGACACTGACGAACTGAGCGCCAACGCTTTCATTACGTCTCCCCTCCCCCGCTCGCGTCTCGCGCCTGACAACCGGAAATAGCCTGTGTCTGAAGATGCCTGTGCTTAGATATAACGTTTTTCTTTTTCCTCCGGAGCTGGGCTTTGTTTTTGTTTTGGTTTTGGTTTGTTTTTTGGGAGGGTTTTGTTTGTTTGTTTGTGTACAGCCCCAGAACATCGAACTAGCATTGTCTTTCTTTCTTGCCATTGCCAGACAAAATACAGGATTTCCCACTTAAATGTTATTTCAGATAAATAAAAAAAAAATTATTCATTGGTATAATTGTGTTCCAGGTATTGCTTTGGTAAATATGATAAGGCTGTCTTGTTATCTATTTATTTATTGTCACCAACTCAATGCCACTCTCTCCGTAACTCTTATTCTTCCTATCCATTAACGTTTAGGATGAAGTACAGACATAAGTTTTCCCCTGGAGGAGGCTTCATCAATGAGAGTCACCGCCTTTCTTGCAAATGCTTTTATTTGCTAATATGCCTTTGGTCTTTCGCTATTAATACAATTAGGTTCTCGGGGTACACACATTTTTTAATTCTATTAATTTGCCTCCTGTACTCTTCTCTTTGGTTTCTTCAGAGGCCTTTATTTAAAAACTGCTAGACTGATAGATGGTAAGTGAACATATTATATAGTAAAGTGCATATTTAAAAACAGGTTTGTATTATTTTATCAGAACTATAATCAAACCACATACCATAGAGATATATTTACAGGTATCTGGAAAACAATTTCCAAATATAAATGCTACTTGAAAACCCGGAGTCAAAAAGTCAGTTAAAATTTCACTAATGTGTTTCTCGAAAGCTTTTTTGTTGTTGTTTGGTTGGTTTTGGTTTGTTTTTTTTGTTTGTTTGTTTGTTTGTTTGGACACAAGTTCTCTTTAGAAATCCCTGGCTACTCTGGAACTTGCTATGTAGACCAAGCTGGCCTCCAACTTCTATCTGTCCTTGCCTCTGGAGTGCTGGAATGAAAGGCATGCACAACTATAGAGGGCTCATTTTCAAATCTTTTACACAAGACAGGCAAGTAATTTAGAATTCTATTGAAGCATTATGACCTAACTGACATGTCATAAAGACAAAAGATAGGTGTGGCCTATGCAGCTAATTTTACTTTCTTCTGAGATCCATATCATACACCAGATTTCTGGAGAAGGAACCAATTAAAATCTAAGATTGAAGAGGTTGACCCCCATGTGAAGAAGATGGAAATATCAAAACAAGAAGGCATAAGAAAACCTTCAGGCTCCAGAGTTTAGAAGGTATATGACAAAACAGCAGGAGATGAAACAGGGTGAACAGAAAGGCTTGATGGCAAAAGACGTTTCATTTCATTTAAAAAAATTAATATACTGCAGTTATTGAGTGGCTTAATCAAGAGAGTAAAATGATCAGACTTTTTTTTATTTTTTTATTTTTTTCTTATCAGTTACATTTTATTAACTCTGTATCCCAGCTGTATCCCGATCCCTCATTCCCTCCCAATCCCACCCTCTCTCCCTCATCTCCACCCTGCCCCTTTCCAAGTCCACGGATGGGGGGGACCTCCTCCCCATTCATCTGACCCTGTTTTATCAGATATCTTCAGGACTGGCTGCAAAGTCCTCCTCTGTGGCCTAACAGAACTGCTCCTCCATTAAACCACTCTGGGTTAAGTAGAAAAGTTGGATTAGAAAAAGGTTCAGATGTAACTCCTGAAGTTACTGCATAGCGTTAGCAGTGTAAGTTAGCAATAGATGAATTTAGGAAATAATAAGAAGGTGGAATGGACAAGGTTTGGCAACTAATTGGATGGTTATAGCTTATTGATACCTTGTTAATGATAAATCAGGAATGGCCTCCTTTATTAATGACTATGCTATCTTTAATAAATATAACATCAGCATCCTTTCTGTGTTAGCAACAGTTTATAGATACCCTAAAGTTTTGATTTCTGTAAGGAGTGACTATTGATACTGATTCTTTCTACCCAGGTAAGGCACTGTTGAGTGATAGTCTTTCTTTTTTGTAAGATATCAGAACTCAGATAATAAATGCTTTGTGAGGCTTCTCAGACACAATATGATGAAATAAGATGTTACAAATTTATGTTTGTATAAACACACAATCCATTGTTGGATCTTAATCAATTCTGGAAAATTAAGAAGAGTTCTCTACTAAATGCATGTCCTTATAAATTCCTAGTAGATTAAAGAAGAATAGGAAGCTAAAACCCCAACTGAACTCATGATAATCTGGCTGTCCATTAGAAGGTGTTACCTACTTCTTTTTTTGTTTGTTTTAAGAAGTTATTTATTTATTATTTGTAAAATGTTCTGCCTGCATGTGCACCTGCATTCCAGAAGAGGGTACCAGATCTCATTACAGATGGTTGTGAGCCAACTTGTGGTTGCTGGGAATTGAACTCAGAACCTTTGGAAAAGCAGCCAGTGTTCTTAACCTCTGAGCCATCTCTCCAGCCCTTGCTTACTTCTTTGTAAAATTATTTATTAGATTTATTTATTTTATGTGTGAGTATTTTCCTGCATGTATATATTTGCACCACATGTGTGCTTGGTGCCTTCAGGGATCAAAAGAGGGTGTCAGAACCCCTAGAAGTGGAGCTATAAATGTTTGTGAATTATCATCTCTATGGATAGATATTGAACACAGATCTTTTGCAAGAGTAACAAGTTCTCCCAACTGCTAAGCCAACTCTCCAGCCCCCATTGCCTACTTCTTAAATATAAAACTAGATGAAAACTTCAAGAAATCATGTAGAATCATATATATGTGTGTTTTTTGAGACAGTGTTTCTCCATGTAACCCTGGTTGTCCTGAAAGTCTCTCTGTAGACCATTCTGACCTTAAACTCACAGAGATCTGCCTGCCTCTTCTGGGATTAAAGGCATGTGCCACTACTCACAGAATCCTATATTTTAATCAGGAAATATTTTAGATTTCTGAAATACCTACCCTTGATATTATAGATAATTCTCAATACCTCTAGTTTTACTAGAAATACCAACAGGTACTACTGACCTGAACTAACATTCTTGAGAACTTTAAAAATTTGTTTTAAGGAGGTATAAAATTATATTAATTTCTCTTCTGAAATGAAATGTAAAAAACTACAAGAATTGATTTAGCAAACTCTCAAGTTTCCTGACATTGTTTTTCGTTTTCATTTTTTTTAAAAAAATATTTAATTTTAATGTGCTTTGGTGTGAGAGTGTCAGACCACCTCGAACTGGAGTTACAAACAGTTGTGAGCTGCCATGTGTGTGTTGGGAATTGAACTCAGGTCCATTTGGAAGAGCAGACAGTGCTCTTAACCACTGAACCATCAATCCAGTCCCACTTTTATTGAGAATTTCATAAATACATACATACAATGCATTTGTTCTAATCCCCCATTCCCCTATTCCCTCCCCTGCAAATCTTATTTCCACCACCACTTCTTTCTGCAAAATTCATGTGCTTGTTTTTTAAAACCATTGCATCCACTAAGTGCTGTCTGTACGAACAAGGGCATAAGACCGTATACTGGAGCATGGATAATTTCTCAGGGACCACATATATGAAGAAAACTAGCCCTCCCTGCCCCAACAGTTAACAGATGCCAATTGTTCCTCTACTCTACTAGGAATGAGACTTCCAAACTGTTTTCTTCCTCCATTCTGGGATTGTGTCTGACTTGTTCTTGCACAAGACTTGTGCATGCTATCTCAACCACTGTGATTTCACATGTGCCCTGTTGTACTTGCAGAAGACATTGTTTCCTTGTAGTCATCAACCATCTTTGACTCTTATGGTCTTTCCTCTTCTGCAATGATCCGTGAGCCCAGGGAGGCAGGCATCTGGTATAGATTATCCCGTATAGGGCTGGTCACTCCATGATCTGTTATTTTCTGCACATTGACCAGATATGTATCTCCGTTTTAATCTCTGTGTACTGCAAAATTAGATAATGAGATTCTCTGATAAGGGTTGAAAGGTGCACTGATCTATTTATAGAGTGATGATTCATTAGGAGTCAGTTTAGTATGTGCCTTTGTTTGGGTATGTGCACATGAGTTCTGGTGCCTAAGGGAGCCAAAAGAGTATTGAATGTCCTGGAGCTGGAGTTTACAAGTAGTTGTTAGCTGCCTGACAAGTTTGCTGGGAATTAAACCTCAATCCTCTCCAAAAGCAGGAAACACTCTTAAGTACTGAGCCAACTCTCCTGACCCAGTTTTGAAGTCTTTAAAGGGAGAGAATGTATGTACAGTGTTCACTTTAAGAAAATTTCTGCAATATATATTAAAAAAAAGTGAGTAACCTTGGAGTATTCAAATAGCTAGTCTCAAATGTGCTAAAAAGGAGCAAACATTTATTTATCAAACAAAACAAACATACTTTTCGTAGAATCTGGTAATATAAGATGAGATATGAGTTGCACATTAATGAAAAAAAGCACAGTGCAATAAACAGGCCAATTTGGCCCGCAGCATCTTGACATGTCTATTTTAAAGAGACTGGAGTACATACATAAAAAGCGACTATGAAGTGCTGTAGCCACAGATCACATGATAATACTTTATGCAATAATTTCACCTAATTGTGGATAGCATTTTGCAACTAATAAAGTGCCTTTTCATACCTTATTTTAATTTTCACATTCACCCTGGAAGATGGGTATTATTTATTAACAGTTTTATCTCATATTCATGGGGAAACAGGTTGTGACTTGACAGAGGTTGCACAGCTAATGGGAATGGAGACTAAAACTACATTTAATGACTCCAAATACGGTGCAATTTTACTTACTACACCTGAATTTAAAGAAAATACTTTTTTTTTTTTTTTTTTTTTGCCGAAACCACCATAATATTTTTGTTACTTGAAAATGCCGAAAGTTCTTCTCACTTCAAGGCTTTTGTACTTGCTTTCCTCTCTGCCCGGAACATCTCTCCTGCAGATTTGTTAAATTTT